ATACCTAGAATTTTAAATTGTTTTCCATAATTGAAAATAATAAGGCTGGCTAGGCATAGTAGCTTATGCCTATAATCCCAGCAATTTGGGAGACCTAGGTGGGAAGATTACTTGAGCCCAGGAGTTCAAGACTACTCTGGGTTCGAACATTATGAGATGCTGTCTCCACAAAAAAAAAAACAAAAAAATTAGCTGAATGAGTGGCACATGCCTATAGTCACAGCTACTCTAAAGGCTAAAGTGGGAGGATTGCTTGAGTCTGGGAGGTTGAGGGCTGCAGTGAGCCATGATCACACCACTGCACTCCAGCCTGGGTGACACAGTAAGACCCAGTCTCAAAAGGAAAACAAAAAAAAAAAAAAGGAAAGCTCTTTACAATATATGAAAAAAAGACCAAAAAACCCAACTTTTACTATCCAGATAACTACTGTTAATATTTTAGATAAGTTTCTTCTATCTGAATGATGTGTATATTTTTCATTGCAATATTATGGTATGTTAAAATTAAATATAGCTATTTTTAATACTGTCCACTTACTTTTCATTAAGAAGAGCAAATTTCTTTCTGTAGAAAATTTAAAAAATAAACACAAATAATATATGACACAATTTAACTTTTTAAAAACAATGATCAATGTAATCAATCATACATACTTATAATCAAATAATGAAGTATATAACTAATGATAACCAGAAATAGCTACTTTTGTTTATGTCCTCCACTTTTTCTATGCGTTTTAATGTGCTTGAAATAATGACATGCATACTGCTTTTAAGTGTAAAGAACTCAGACATGTTCATAGTTCCTAGATGAAAGATAAAATGGAGTGGCTTAATGACAGATAATATCTGCCAGTGGGTGGTTTATTTCTTTCCAAAAACTGGGACTTTTTCTGATTTTAATATAAATTTTAAAGATGCAGAAAATTATTATTCAAGTTCTGTGGCATTGAAAATGGTCATATGTCACTCTCTGCAGCTCCACTTTATAGAGAAGAAATGGATTGTTTTGTTATTAATTTTCTCAGTGGTGTTTTAAACATTTCCGTATTTTAGCAATCATTACCAAGTACTTGAACAAAATAGTAGGAATTATTGCTTAAAATGGGCATCAATCATGGACACAATTTCTTTTTTTTTTTTAATTTTACTTTAAGTTCCAGGATACATGTGCAGAGCGTGCGGCTTTGTCCACAGGCAAACCTGTGCCATGGTGGTTTGCTGCACCTATCAACCCGCCACCTAGGCGTTAAGCCCCACATGCATCAGCCATTTGTAATCATGGACACAATTTTCACATCAAAAGTGGAATAAAGGATGCTGGAAACACATTCCCCTGAAAGTTGGAGGAAGAGCAAAACCAATGAGGGTATCACATCAAGGCCAAGCTTTGCCCTTGGATACACAACTGCACCATGACTGAAATCCTGAGAGTGGAGTCCAATTTGAGTAAAGGGAGATCCACCAGGCTCTTCAGGCCCTGCCTTTCCCATTCTTGGCCTCTTCATTTGTAATCAATTTTGGTAATGTAGAATATGTCCTCAGATACTTCCCTCTCTCCCACTCACCCCCAATCAGTAATCAGGAAATACGTTTTCTGAGCCTCAGTTTATCAGGGAATGGCTTTTTCATACAAAAGACTAGTTGGAGGAGAACAAAATTCTTGGTGCACTACATTGCTTTTCCACCTAAAAATTCTGCAGACGCAATTCTATTCAAAGACACTTTGGCATTCAATGCTGCAGAAGGAAATCCCAAAGCCTTCCTGTTTTCTCTTCCTTTGTAAGCAACCAGTTTGAGGGTTTAGTTTTGTTTGTTTCATTTTGTGCCTGTATGTATCCTTGTAGGATTCCTTTGTCTTTATATTTTGGTTAAACTTTTCACCAGAGTAATTTTACATCAAAAAACGTATTCTCTAAACAGCCTAGCAAAAACTATTTATAAATAGTGTGCAAAGATAAGAGTATTCACAGTACCAGTTTTATAGTTGAGAAATAAAAAGGAAATGTTTACTGAGTTGGACAAATTACAGTGCATCTATACAAAAACTCTCTTCAACAATTTCAAATATTAACTAGAGTCTCATGTCCTAATAACAAGAAACATCTACAATATATTGCTAAATGAAAAAAGAAAAAGGCTAGGTACAAAAAGTTTACTGTGATAATCTTGTTGTTCAAAAAGCTAATGAATATTTGTAGGAGCTGGTATATGCAGAGTAAAGATCTGAAAGGCTTTTCAGCAAACTGCTAACACCCTTACCTCTGGAGAACAGAAAAGGAGAAGCAAAGAGAAGCTTTTATTATTTACATTATACCCATCTGAGGTGTTTGAATATTTTATAATTTTTATAATTAAAAATAATGAAAAAATATATGCAATTGCATATCTCAGTAATCGCTTTGGGGTTTTTTTTGCTGCTTGTTTTACTAACATTACTTGTAACTTAAGGAACCAATTTTAACATTTATACATTGGTTTTTATAGGTAGGAATTTTTTGAAAGTATTTTTTATTTGTCTTTTCTCTCTCAAGTAGAAACACTTATAATTCTTAAGTTAAAGCTACTATCTCAGACTTTTTAAGCAAACACATGCTCTCTCATTATTTTCAACTCTGTCCTACACTTTCTAGGAGAGTTCTAAAATTTGTCCCTTATAATACAATATGATTTTCCATAATCTCAATTAAGTTTTCCACTGCTTTTTAATGCTAATGTAATTCTGCTGTTGCACTTTTGGCTCCCTATAAATTCTTCCTTATCTCATCCAGTTCTTTTTACATGACATTTTGTTCTTTCTTTGAAACATTTGTCCTATTTCCAACAGAAATCGAAGAGAGATGAGATGCAGGGCTTGTCCTTGAATCTCAAGACTCCAAATAATTTCCTTAAAACAAAAATCTATTTCCTTCAGCAGATGGGTGTCAAGGATTTGCTCTTACTGTGAGCTTTCACAATAATTTTGGATAACCATTGCTCAATGTTTCTCCACTGTGATTGCTGTCCTTGTCGAGGCTCATATTCTTCATGTTTTGTAGTTTTTTCATCCCCGAATAAAATAAAATGTATCAAAGTCTAGTGTTTGCCAGAAGACCTCAAGGATGTATGTTCCTTGACCCTACTTCTTTCTGGTCAAATCTTCTGTTTCAAGGTGTAACTGATACGGGATGGGGACAGGAAAGTGCTGGGTAGAGAAGGGTGGGGTCCCTGGCAAGTGCTCCACCCTCAGGCCTGTGCCCACGAACCTAGGTAAGGACAGGCACTCCTGTTTTCAGGTCCAAATGTTGCATTTTCCAAGACCTCTCCGGCCCGCCATGCCCCCCGTTCTGTGCCTATATAACTCCCAAGACCCTAGCAGGCACACACACAAGTGTGTGGATGTCAGGAGGAACAGACCGGCAGAAGAACACACCAACAGACGCCGGCAGGCCATTGATGGTGGGATGACATGGAATTTGGCCGAGGACAGTTGGAGGATAGCCCAGCCACAGAGCAGCCTGACCCAAGGGAAGACCACCTTCCCACTCCATCCCCCTCCTGGCTCCCCATCCATCTGCTGAGAGCTCCTTCTACCACTCAATAAAACCTTGTGCTCATTCTCCACACCAACGTGTGATCTGATTTTTCCGGTACACTATTGCAAAAACCCCGGGGTTACAGAAAGCTCTATGTCCTTGTGATAAGGCAGAGAGTCTGATTGAGCTGATTAACACAAGCCGCCTGCAGATATCTAAACTGAAAGAACACACTGTAACACACTGGAGCTTCCGGAGCTGTAAACACCGAACCCTAGACGCTGCTGTGGGATTGGAGTCCAAGATCCCCACGATCTGCCCGTCTGCATACTGCCCCCTAGAGGTTTGAACCGCAGGGCACCAAAGAAACGAGTCACTTCCAACGCCCTGCTAGGGGAAACAGGGAACTTTTCCCATTTCATAACTGCCCACCGGCTGAATGCCCACAGCTCCTAGATCAGCTCCACATTCCAGCAGGCTTTACTAACCGTGGTCTGGTAGGCTCAAATAGAATTCTGTCCAACTTCTTCTAGACAGTTAATGAGTGGAAATAACCATCACCCAGTTATGCTATGCATCACTGTCACAAAGACCCTCCTGCTCCTGCCCTCCAATCCCCGCCCTGTGGTCTTTGGAGCAAGATCTTCTCTGAGGTAGGAAAGTAAATAACGGAAGAGGAGAGGAACACAATTCTGCCTCTTATAAAATGGGGAAAACGCACAGGACAAGGATGGCTAAAAGGGACTCTGATATGGTTTGACTGTGTCCCCACCCAAATCTCATCATGAATTGTAGCTCCCATAATTCTCACATGTCATGGGAGGGACCCGGTAGGAGGTAATTGAATCATGGGGGCAGGTCTTTCCTATGCTGTTCTTGTGACAGTGAATAAGTCTCCTGAGATCTGATGGTTTTGTAAAGGGAGTTCCCCTGTACACACTCTTTTTCCTGGTGCCATGTAAGATGTCCCTTTGCTCTTCCTTCATCTTCCAGCATGATTGTGAGGCTTCCCCAACCATGTGAAACTGTGAGACCATTAAACCTCTTTCCTTTATAAATTACCCAGTCACAAGTATGCCATTATCAGCAGCATGAAAACAAACTAATATAGACCCAGACAAGAGGCACCATACTGGCTACCCATGACTCTCTCAAACATGTTTGACATGGTTAGTACCATGTTTGAAATAAAATTAGGGCAATGCTAAAAAACAAATAAGAGCACACAAATAAAATCCAAATTTCTAGCTTCTTCTGAACTGTAACAATATTTGGCAAGTCCATGTCTGCATTCTTAGAAGACAACAATTAGATGTCTTCATAGACCATGTGACCTCTCAACTTTGCCTCTGTGCCTCCCTGGTCAACCCATTCATTTTCATTACCTTAGGCATTTCCATTTTCAACACCTGGCATAAACTTGAGTTTTCCATTGTATTAGTTTCCTAGGGTTGCCCATAATAAAACAAAAATATATCCTCTCACATTTTGGACTGGAGGTCCAAGTGTCAGCAGAGGCATGCTCTCTCTGAGGTCTCAACGACAGAGTCCTTCCTTGCCTCTTTGAGCTTCTGTTGGCTTCTGGTGTTCTTTGGCTTGTGGTCCCACCATTCCAATTTCTGCCCCTGTCTTCATGTGGCCTGAAACATATTCTCTCTGTGAGTTACTGCATGTGTGTTTCTGTCCGTTATAAAGATGCTTTCATTAGATTCAGGATCCAGCCTACCCAGTATGGTCTCATTTTGAACTTTAATCCATTGTATCTACAGATAAGCTATGTGGGGGAAAAAAAAAAAAGGCACATGCTAAAGTTCTTGGTGGTCATCAATTTTCATCAGAGAATCTATTCAGGTATTCACAATTGAGGGGACACACCGTCCAGGGGATCCCCATCCAGGAGATGCACAACAAAAATAATAGTCCTTCCTACCTCTTGCTAACAGAGCATTTCCTCAGTAACACACCCACATCCATAGAATGTTCTCTTCTTTTCAGTTTCATTGGCATTACTGTTGGCAAAAAGTCCTCCCAGATCCAGTCTTCAGGGGATTGTCAGTCCAAGTTTATGGCTGTGTTTTGAGTTTACATCTTCTTCTAAGCCTTTATAGGTATTTTACGTCACATACAGAGAAGCTGTACCAGGAACTGTTAGCAGACACCATTTCAAACCAGCAGTCAGTGAATCAACTTTATAAGCTGCAATTAGAAAACAAGGAAAGGATAGAGCTTTTATTCCCTCCAAGTAAAGTCCTCATTTCCTCCACATTCTCCCAACTCTCAACTCCTCTACCCAAAACTATCAATCACATTGGTGACTTTAGAGTGATATGGGAAGAAGGGTGAGGTTGCTATGTGAGTATAGAGCAAGAGACTAGATAAGATTGAGTGAAGCATTGTAATGCAGCTGCTAAGATCTTTTAATTCGGAGCTCTGAAGCTTTTATTTGTTAATGTTGATTAAATAATGAAAATAACTCCAGGTTAAGAAAATGTTAGTAATCAGCACCACACAATAGCTATTGTCAGTGATTTGTATATTTAATGAAAAAACTAATGGCTACATATTCATTATTGTATTATGGTTAATACGCCACACCAAATGTGGAAGAATGAAAGTCTTTGAAAACAAGAAAAATGTTTTACTTCTAGGAGGACTGGAGAAAAAAATGAAAGAAAGAACAAATATCTTAAAATCTCCAGCGCTCAGCTGTGGAAACTGAGGTCTAGATAGGTAAAATTACTTTCCCTAAGTCATCCAACTAATTGGCAATAAAATTGGAACTATAAACAGGAACTATAGCCCTTCAAAATCACTGTTCTTGCTAGAAATAACACAGTTAAATTATTTTAAGCAAGTTGAGAACATAACATTTTCCATATTAATTCCATCTACTCATATATTACTTTGCAGTTTCCATGTGCTTTGTCAACATTTTTACAAAAGGCATTGTGTCATTTGATCCCTACAATGATTCTGCTGTATGGGAACAGAAGATATTACGGTTCCATCCTACAGGTAAGGAAATGAAAGATCAAATTTTCCAATCTGAAACATTTATTCTTGAACACCATTCACCTACTCTGCAATAAATTCCCAAAGGCAAAGATGGCTCAGAGCCCTAAGGGTTGTACAGTCTGAAGGAGGAGAAACAATTGGCTTGGCCATACTGTTGCAGTAGAGGAGGGCCCAAGGTCCTAAGAAAGTGAAGAAGACGTGGGTAATGAAAGAGCAGAAGTTAGAGAAGGACTTTTTAAATGTATGAACTGATACTAAGGAGAAGACATTTACCAGATGAAAAGTTAAAAAAAAAAAAAAGATATTCAGCTAAAAATAGGACATTAGAGCAGGCGGAAGACAGAGACGTACAATATGGCACTGCCTTTCAGCATGGCTTCTGGGCAGAGTGTGAGCTAGGAAGAGCCACAGAGATATGAGATCAGGTTATGAAGTCCTTTCTATGCTAGGGTCAGGAGTTTGAACTTTATCCACCAGGCAAGCAGGCTGGTGAAGGTTTTTAAACAAGAGTGTGACATGATCAAATTTGTGTTTCAGAGAAATGAGCCTGTATAAAGCATTGAAGTAACACCTTAAATTCAAATACCTCCCAGGCTCAGGCAGGTAACAAAAAATAAGGGTTTAAAACAATAGTAAGGAGGAGAGATTATGACGAACTGAACAAAAATTAGATGCCTGAGCTTAAAAAAAAATACCCAAAACATCAAGATTTACCCAGTTGTTGCTCGCTGTGGACCAGTGAGGTCAGATCATTCAATTTTTTAAGATAAACAGGAAATATGGATTTTTATTTAAAATCATCTGATTTTTCAATTTTTAAATCTTATTCCAAAGAGTGTTTTGGACAATAAAAATAAATAAATAAAATGCATCTGTGGACTGCAAAACAAACCATCATTTTTTCATTGAACTTGTATACAGTACAAGAGTCTGGAGGCATAGCCACCAGTTAGGAATCTATTTCAAAAGGATGAACCTAGAGCAGTGCCAGTGAAGCCAGAAAAAAAGACAGATGACTGACAGTCAGAATACAGAGATGAGAGGAGACCCACCAGATGGTATATGAGCAGCATGACCAGGTGTTTGGACTCTGGTCTGTGATTTAGTCCTTGGTGTCATTGTTGTGACTATGGATTAGGCTTTACATTTTTATTTTCAACATAGAAAGGGGTAGCAAAGAGTAGGTTCTGAAAAACCAGCTTCCAACGCCTTCCAAAATTGACTTCCTCTGAGCCCTCCACGTCTAAACTGGTTCCCAGCGTCGCCAGTTGGCATCCAGAGGCAGATTGAGAAGGAAGATGAGTGTTCTCTATTTCTCTTCTTCATTCTCTGACATGATCAGACTCTCTGACGTATTCAGTTAATGTTCTCCACCATAAAAAAAGAAATGGTTGTTCTCCTTTCCCTAACTATGCTGTCGCTTTGATTTAAGTACTTTTCACCTGTAAATGTCCTTGGTTACTCCTGAACCATATTCTCTCCTATAAAAGGCACTAAATTAAAGACTGCTTTGGCTCTGCATTTTAGTGATTTTGAGAAGTGCTACAAGATTGCTCCTCCCTTCACAGAGCCAGTGAAGTTCACCTCAAATGTCACCTCCTTTCTGTGATTTGCTCTAAGACTTTATCCATTTAAGACCCAGCTCACATGCCCTCTCTTCCATGAAGCCTTTTCTCACCACACGAGCAACCCCCTGTAACCCCAGACTGGGCCAGGCTGCCTTGACTGTGCACATCACCATCTGTTACCATTTAACTCCTCTCCACTCCTGAAAACCTTATAGGCACACAGCAGTCACAGTGGTCTTCTTAAATAGAAGTCAGATCTATCACTGCTCACTTAAATTCTCCACTCTGTGGAGTCTGAACAAAACCTAAACTCTAAATGATTTACAAAACCCTGGGCTGTCTGATCCTGCCTACACCTTCTGCAATTCTTTTCCTTTTTTGATTACATTCAAATTATGCTGGACTTCTGAGGTACCCTCAGATACCACCACGAGGTCTTTGCATTTGCTGTTCCCTCTACTTACAAAGCTTCTGCAAGGTTTTTCACGTAGCTGGATCTTTCTCATCCTCTGGTCTTGGGTTAAACATTATCTCCTCAGAGAGATCATCCATCCCTGATCATGTAAATCTCACTCTCCCAGGTATCCTCTCTTGGCAACTAGATTACTTGCTCCGTACTTACGGCGGCTACAGGAAATGCTTTGCAGCCCTCCAAATGCCAAAGTGTAATTGCCCAAAGGCTTTTGCTATTGCTCTCTGTAATCCACCCATTCACATGCTCCAAAGCTATACTTCCCATGAGATGCTCCCACCCAATGGCTAAGTAAGGCAGGACAAAAAGGCAGTCTCTTCCTGGAAGATATGGGACTCCTATAACTGGCAACTTTGACTTGGGGATCCACAATTGTCTTCGCTGAAACTTCCATTGACTGCACAGCTGTCTGAGACTTCTCCCACACAACCTTCTTCCTTTCCCTCCCTGCACAATGGAGTCAGACCAGCATTGAAGTCTGATGGCTTCTCCAGGCTCCTTCAGCATCTTCCACATGTTCCCTCACCAACCTGTATCTTACTTCTGATCTCCAAGAACCCAAATTAGCACATTGGAACTTATTCAGATCTCTGTTTATTTTCATTTGTTTATTAGGTCCCCCAGTAAAATGCCACCTATTTGAAAGAAAGGCTCTTATTAGACTTGCTTGCGGCCAAGTCCACTGCACCTAGCACCGTCCTGGCATAGAGTAGGTGCTCCCCAATATTTGTCCAATTAAGAAATCTTCTTCTGGAACCTTGTTCATAGGTCTATTGCCACATGGACACATCATCCTGAAATTATCTATTCACCCTCTTTCATCTCTCACTAGACTTCAGAATTCCTTGAAAATATTCTACACCTGGGATTTGGTCCCAGTATATAGCCCAGAGCCTGAAGCACAGTAATAGCTCAATTAATGTTTGTTAAATTGACATGCCAATTGCTCCTTCTTTACTCACTTCCTCACACCCTAAACTCCCCACACACCCAGGCAACATAAGCTATGTCCTTACCTGTCTTCCATAATGCTTTACCCCAGGTAGTTCCTCCTTTTGTGTCCTATATCTCTGTAACTGTCTTCACTATTCTCCCAGTTTTCCATTTTTATTCTCCATCACTACCCTTCTATCTCCCCACAGAATTCTAGGCCATTCATTCACCAAGTCCTTTCTTCTCACCTCCTAAATAAGTGCTCATTTCATGCACTTTTACTTTTCTCCAATTCTACCGCCCCTACTCTGGTCTAAGCTCCCCTTGATTAATACAAAACATCCTCTTGATAGCGTCCTCTTCCTCTTGGTTTGCATCCTTCCTATATATTCCCCACCCAGCAGCCAGATGCCCTTTCTAAAAGGCAAATCTGATCAGATCTCACAGTGCTGAAAGCCCTTCAAGTCTCAATGGTGGGTTGAGGAGGCCTTTCCGGACTTGAACAAATCCACCCACTCCTGCTTCGTGCCCATCCTTACTGCACACATAACTCCCCTTATCTTCCAGCCAAACAGAGCAGTCTGCAATGCACCAAATCTACTCTGTCTTTCTTGAAGAATTGTCTTCCCCTTGCTCACCCCGACCCTCATCATGCTAATTCTTGTTGATGTCATTTATTCCAAGAAGGCTTCTGCAGACAGGCCCAGTCTGGATAAAGTGGTTTTCTTTGAATTCCTGTGGGAATCCAAACTACTTCCCTTATGGTATTTATTACACTGGTTTGTTTAGTGGTGTGGCCCCTAATGTGTGACCTTCATTTCTAAAACAAAGATTTGATAAGTTGCCTCATTGCATCCAATGCTTTAAAAATTTCCCCTTTTCCTGAAATTTTGGGTGTTCCCAGCCACCTTGCAAGTTTAATCCCTCCTCACCTGCAAGATCTTACCACTCCTGGCTGTAAGCAGAGCCTCACCCATGTGCTGCCTCGACTACCTTTCCTGCTCTTCCTTCTCGTCAAATCATCTCCGTCCTTAACTACCCATCTTGAGTGTTCTCTCTTCCATGAAATCTTTCAGCTCTCTTTCTCTCTTCTATTTAGAATTGATCACCTCTTCTTCCCCTATGGCCCCATGTTATCTGTTCACGTTTCTATCATTTACTTCATCACATGTTTTGGTGTATAATTTTCTGTCTGCCACTGGTCTATA